CTCTTCTACAACACTGCCTTGGAACCCTTCCTCTCTCCCTTCTAGTAGGTCCTAGTTTCCTCTAGGTTTCAGGTCCTTGGCAGCGTCGACGTGGTGGTGGTGATGATGGCGCATTGGAATAAGGTCTCTTTGGCCTCTCCCTACCACAGTGATGTCCAATTTGGCGCCAACAAAGGGTCGATGAGGGTAGGTTCTGGCAGATATGTTGGTTCGTTTCGGATCTTGGCAGTTGGTGTGTGAATTAGGGGAAGTAGTTAGCTGGCTATTGATGGCGACTTCGACCTCTTCTTTTGGTTTAATTGGCGGCATTGCTTACTGCTCGCGCGCGCGAATATCATCATACTAATTGTCAAATTTTGGATCCGAGTCTCCCCCTCTACCCTACAGGTATAGGGTATAGGGGGGGGGGGGGGTAGAAGCCCACATACCCACTCTTTTATCCCCCCTCTACCCTAAATGTATAGAGTATAGGGGGGATAGAAGCCCACATGCCCACTCTTCTATCTCCCCTCTACCCTACATGTATAGGGTATAGGGGAATATAAGCCCACATGCCCACTCTTTTATCCCTCGTTCTTGTAAATGATGAATATACCTTCAGAATTAAGGTACTCTCTGGTATTTGGTTGCAGTATTCCTTAATGCTTACGATGGAGTACGATTTAAGCATGCCCGTTGGATCTGAACAAATGGAGGGCTCATATTAAACTCGGGGTACTAGGAAAGAACTCTTGTTCTAATAACTATAATCTTGGAAGCATGCAAACATTAATCACTAGAGATGATCCAATGTATAACATGTTTTTTCCCGGCATGAGATCTGGTCACAGAACAGAGTAGAATAGATGGATCGTCCAGCCGGCTCATGTTGAGCTACGAACATACTCCCTTCGTTTTAAAATAGATGACCCAACTTTATACTAACTTTAATACAAAGTTAGTACAAAGTTGGGTCATCTATTTTGAAAAGGAGGAAGTACTTACCTACGTGCTACTAGACCTAGAGCCTCTCTACAGCGTCACGCCAGATGGTCACAGGGCAGGGTGGAATAGAAAACGACTGATGGCAAGGCGTAACCTCCTCCAGATGGTCACCACAGCAGGTCAACACAACCAACAAGCCAGCCGAACTTGTGGCCTACAATGGAGAATGCACTGCTGCTGCTACTACTACTATGTGGTCACACCCCGAAAAGGACATGAGTTATAGCACCATGGGGACAGACGCACGTCCAACATCGCCATGAAGCCGTGACAGCCACGTGCATCGATCAAACCCGGCATAAAACACGCCCAAAATCCCCGTAATCAATTAGCAGTTGGCCAGTGTTGCTATAGCATGAAATCGAAACAAGAGAAAATTGGGTGGAATTAGATGCAGCGTGTAAGCGTGTGTGTGTGTAACTGTCGAAAGGCGCCAGCTAACCGCCAGTGCCACTGCTGTTGCTGATGGTGCAAATATGGTTGGGTTTCTAGGGGGTTGCCCGTGTTTTCCTACACGGATCGACGACGATGGGCATCCACACCATGTGGAGGGGCTCTGTCAGAGTTATCGCCGTTTTTATGTCGGTCGCGGTCTATATTGATTCATGCCGTGATCCATTTTTATCGACCTACTGTGGTTTATATTAGTACCCGTATCCATCGTGGCCTCGTATGTTGTACAGCAAGGCAAAAGGAGATGGATTGTATTTCTTATACATTGTGTGAGTTTGTGACAGCCCGCCTCTCCTTCCCTCGAACACCGATCTTGACCTGCGATGGGATGAGTACCAGACTGGATCCCTTTGGAGCAAAGTGGAGGGGTGCGGCGACGAAGGGGTAATGCGGCAGTCGAATAGCTGGCTAGAGAGAAGTGATGGAGAGGATACATCGACTCATGAAGCACACATTTAATCTTCGTCTATTGGAATGCAAACTGCTCTCAGGGTGATCCCAACGCAACGACGTTGGGTGTGGAGGCCTAATTAACGAGGAGAAAGACAAATGCCATATCTTAATCTACATATACACAGATTTTATTCTGGAATACAAAACATATCAAAATGATTGATAGTTTGCTTTTATACAAACCACTAAGAGAATGAAAGGTGCAACACATTAGGAGTGCCAACGTATCTACCAATTATACTGTTAGTAAAAGCACCCAATGCCTAGCCAAACACCAGAGCCCTAAACTTAGCAAATATCAGGGGCTTAATTACTTCTGTCAAAAAACGTCCTAGATGATAGGTCAATTAGATACAAAAATAATACGCAAATCCCCAAGAAATTTATGCATCAATACCTATTTACTGCACAAGGGCACTCCCAACACATTTTGTCATAAACCTGCACCTTATGCAGCTGAGGTTGCTGCCAGCCCACCCGAGTTTAAGTCCTGGCTTGAACGCGTGGTGCTCGCGGAGTTTCCCTTATAAAAAGAATGCCAACGAGGGTTAACCCTTGAGTTGGTCTTTTTTTTTTTAAATTATCAATCTATGTTAGTAGATCACAAGAGTCTACAGAACACCGGTGCCAAATAAACGTAGTAGGCACCCATACTTAGCATAAAACCAGGAGCCTGACTAGGCACCTCTCCAAGCACTCCTCTATAATCTTTTCAGGGTAAAACATATATAGGTTCATTAGATGACCATCACAGGCGTCTCATTGTCGACTGGGACGAGGAAGAACGGGATTCAGTCACAGGACATGGTAGATCGTCCAGGCTCCTATTCAGCATCGTGCAGTCTGCAACGGCAATGTAGCAAATTCTGTAAATGATTGATGGCAAGGCGTAACCTCCTCCAGATGGTCACGACAGCAGGTCAACCCAACCAACCAGCCGAACTTGTGGTCTACAAGAGAAGAGAATGTACATGGTTACATGGGGGCAGCAGGACAGCCACACTTCCCAATGATGGCGCGACAGTCACGTGCATCAAACTGGCATAAAAACATGTCCGAAATCCTTGTGATTAATCAGCAGTTGGACAGTATTACTAGCGCAAATCGCGCTATCGGAATTAAAATATTTAGTTTTTTGGTTGCGGGCAGCTGTCTCGCGGGATTAACTGTAACTAGCGCGCAAGTGTCAAAAGGTGACAGCTAGTAACACTGCAAATATGGTTGGTATTTTTAGGAGAGTTTGCCCATCTTTTCCAACACGGATTGACGACAACGGGTATCGATCGAAGGGCTTGACGACAACGGGTATCAACACAAAGGAGGCCTCTCTGTCGGAGTTAACCGTGTTTTACGTCCACTGTGGTCTATATTCATTACCGTTTTGATCTATAGTTACTTCCATGGCCCGGTGTGCTGTACCAAGGCAAAAGGAGAAGATGTGGCTAATATTTCGCACGTACTGTGGCCACCTTCCCTCCCTGCAAATTTTGATCTCAACCACCTGCGATGAAATGAACTACGTCATTGAATCCTTTAGAACAAATTGGATGGTGTGGCGATCAAGGAGCAGATCCATCCATTGAAATGCAAACTGCTCTTAGGGCGGCAGGTCCCCATGCAATGGCATTGCCGGTGGAGGCCTAGTTAAAAATGAAAGAGATAGATATCATATATACGACTCTTATTGTGGAACCTAAGATAAGTTATACTTTTCTCCCACAAACGTTTTAAAACGTTACTCCCTCCGTCTCATAATATAAGACGTTATTACATCCAATATATGTAAAGCACCCAATGCCTAACCAAACACCAGGACCATAAAATTACCAAATATGAAAGGCATAATTACTTCTCTGACAAAACATACTAGATGACATAAGGACCTATTTTACTGCACAAGAGGCAAGTTTAAGATAAAATGTGTTGCGACTTGCGAGTGCCCTTAGATATCAATATATGTTAGTACCATTACCATATAAGAGTCTACAGAACACTCCCCGCCATATAAACAAATAGTAAGCACACATACTCCGCAAAAACCAGGAGTATACCATAGGCACCTCTCCCATCACCCGTCTATATTTATATCCATATCCATCATGGCCAGGTATGCGGTAGAAGGGCTTCATATGTATTGTGCATTTGGGACCCACCTCATCCAATGCTGATCTCCACTTGTGATGAACTACCTAGCTGGATCCCTTTGGAACAAAGTTGAGGGTGCGGCGGGGAAGGAGCTGCTGAGCCGGTCGAAATAGCTGGCTAAGGATGGACTGAATCCATTAACTCATTAGGCACTCATTTAATCTCCATCCATTGAAACGCAAACTTCTTTCTGAAGGTACTCGGGGCGGTCCCAATGCAATGATGTCAGTTGTATAAAACAACTGGCCAACCAAGCTACACATTCTGGTGCTGGGGCATAGTTAACGAGGAAAGAGAGATGTGTTCTAGCTAGACTGGTCTAGAATGAGTATTATTGCGAAAAGTGGTTCAATTCATACTTCTATCTGACAAAACATATCAAATGTTAGGTCATTTAGATACAAACCACTAAGAAAATTATATCTAAATAGTAATACATATCTAATGCCACAGATACAAGTTTAAGATGCAATGCGTGGGAGTGCCCCCTTTGATAAATAAATAAAAAATATCGACTAGAGTTGCCGTTAGCAAAGCACCCATGCTATAAGCTTATGATCAAGCACCCATACTCGGCCAAAACCAGGAGTTAATTACTTTAGGCCCCTCTGGTGGAGCGGCCAAGCTAAATATGCCATAAAGCCTAGGACTAAGACAGCCAACTGCCTAGATGAGGCATTCATTCTGTCACTCATTTCAATAGTGACATAAACTTGTCCCTAGTCTGGTTACAGCTCAAGCCCAACCAAGTATGCGAATACAGGTGGGTACTCGATAGACTATAAGAGTAGCAACCATGCACCCACATGATCTAAGCCACCCCCAACGCAACGCAAGCACAGACACGTCCTGGCCTGGCCGGCTTGACTCCACTACTTCTCTAGCTTCCAAGAGAAACCGGCCACTATCTTCCACATTTTCAGGTTTGTCGATCCTTGTTAGCACGGTAGCGTGTAGAGCTCGCCATGGACGCTGGCGCGGTGGCTGGATGCCTCCGGGACAAGACCGTCCTCGTCACCGGCTCAACTGGCTACCTCGGAAAATGTACGCAAATACCATACATATACATCGCGAGCCCTTACCTTATGCATATATGTACTATATGTAATGTATTATGTATCTATGCATGCAGTGATGGTGGAGAAGATACTGAGAGTACAGCCGGACGTGAAGAAGGTCTACCTGCTGGTGCGCGCTCCCGATGCCGCCTCCGCCGAGCAGCGTATCCTGACCCAGGTGAAGTGGATATGCGTCATTGCTTTCGACCACACCAGCTATATGCAGTGCTATGGACATGGTCTAACCTTTAGTTGTATAGTACGTTGGGCGCCATCTTTACAAACTCATGGCACTGGAAACTCATTTGGTTCGTCTTGGTACCGCGCGTGCAGGTGCTAGGGAAGGACCTGTTCAATACCCTGCGGGAAAAGCACGGGCTTGCTGGCTTCCAGAAGCTGATCAAAGAGAAGATAGTTCCTCTGGCGGGAGACGTCGGGACTCGCAACTTCGGGCTCGACAGCTCCACATCTGACGACCTGTGTCAGGAGATCGATGTTATCGTCCATGGGGCTGCAACGACTAGCTTTTATGAAAGGTACAACAATTGCTAATTAAGTGTGGCAAATACACGTAAAACTGTAAAAAGCATTCCAGATATGTTTTTACAAGAACTAATTAATGACTGACAATTGCAGATTTTTCATCATGGGAACTTGTATACCTTTATTGGCTTTATACTTGTTCTAATAATTTGAGTTGGGGAGCATGTAATAGTCCAGTATCAGCGAAAAAATTGAGCAAATCCTGCTACCTAAGTAACATGTAACTGAATTTTCTTCCCCTAGAAATCAGTAGCATTTTGCACCATCCAATTTGAATCTCCTCATATCTAATAGTCTTACTGACCAAACTACAAGTCATGCGTTTCAAACTAATTTACTTATTACAGCTTGTGAACCTTTTAACCTGTATGTTAGAGGGGGCAGTTGTGCACAGATAAACAGAACCTAGACACACAAAAGGAGTTGTTGAACTAGTAAAAGGCATAATATAAAATAAAGTTGAATCAACGAAAGATGTAAATCTTGCTGAATCACCACAGAATTTTAGAATGGAGGTGGAAGTACAGAAATCGTGGAGATAATATCAACATCAGAGATACCTGGCTCAGATCTGATTTTTGGGGGAGCACAGCGTTGAACTTGTCTCTGGAAGAACCTGGTGAACACTGTTGCAAATCTTCAACTAAACTCACCGGATATCCATATTCACATGATAAGTCGATGCGTGTTGCCTACATACTACCTCCGTCTTGGTTTGTTGGTCCCCATTGTATTTCGTGTCAAATTTTGATCATAGATTTAACTAACAAATTGTTCGTGCATGTCACCAAAAATTATATCATTGAAAACTATGTTTAAATACGAATCCAACGATATAATTTTTGTTGACATGCATTAACATTCTGTTAGTTAAATCTTTAGTCAAAGTTTGACACAAATTACAAAAGGGACCAATAAACCAGGATGGAGGTAGTACATGCTTTCCCTGTAAAAGCCATAGCAGGTTGTGGTGCTGGGAGGACACAACACGCAAAAGCCAAAACAGTTTACCGTTCCAGCTTTTAGTATGAACTATTTTGCATGTTTGTTGAATTTCATTGCACGTACAGGTACGATGTTGCTTTGGCATCGAATGCATTAGGAGCCCAATATGGATGCGAATTTGCCAAGAAGTGTCCTAATCTGAAATTGTTGCTTCATGTTTCCACTGGTACGTGTTTTATTTATATATACCCAGTTGTGCACACAAGCAAAAATGGAGGAGAATTGTACAATACGATGAGTATATATATGATCGGCCAACTCCAACATAACCATGTCTTCTTTTATCTATTAGCTTTTGTAGCTGGTACTCAAGAAGGACTTTTACTGGAGAAAGCACTAAAGATGGGTGAAGCATTACGGCCCGGTTGCCACTTGGACATTGAAGCTGAGTTGCAGCTGGTTGAGAAGGTCAAGGCTGAACTCGCAGAGGCGAAGAGTGGTGGTTCAGACCAATCATCGGAGAAGATAGCCATGAAAGAACTTGGCTTCAAGAGGTCTGACCAATCTAAATGTGGTATTTACTTTATTTCAAGAATATGTTTGATGTTTAGTACATCCGCATGTTATTCAACATGCAACTTTTTGAGAGCTATGTTGTTAAAACTAAAAATTGCTATATTTGGAAACAATTTCAATGAAAAATCTTACCGACCATTTTCACATGACCAATGTAAATAACCTTTTATGTGTTAGTAGTCATCTAACAACACACTTTTTAAAGGGAAAATTCTTATATTTCTGACAGGAGAGTAAATTTAGGGAGAGCAGATAATAAATATAAATCAAATCACTGTTATAGTTATGTCATTATTACTAAGGTAGTTGTCATATCAAATGCTGCCACCTTTAGACCTCTGGTTTGGACCATTTTCGATCATGACCAGTACCAACTTAAAAAGAGGTGGTTGATTTATTGTGCCACATTCGCAAGAACATTGTTCACTTCCATATGTACGTGATGTATCAAAAATCAGCTTGACACTACCTAAATTGTTCATAAATTGTTGAAGGGCTTGTCATTTTGGATGGCCAAATGTATATACATTTACCAAGGCTATGGGGGAGATGTTACTTGAGCAGCAGAGGGGAGACCTTCCTGTCGTTATTATTCGACCCACCATGGTAACCAGCACTTATCAAGATCCATTTCCTGGGTGGATAGAAGGGGCGAGGTAAGCTCAACATGTAAATCTACTGGCAATTTATAGTTCAATTTTGCTCAACTAATTACTGTTGCAGAAGTATCATACTACATATATATCCAAGCTGGACATCACCAATAGAATATAAGTTCTTTTACCATTTTATCTCCAGGACAATTGATGCTCTGATTGTCGCCTACAATGAGCAGGCATTCCCATGTTTCGTAGGTGATCGCAATGACACAATGGATGCAGTGAGTAATACATGATCATATTAGCTATTACGGATGTAGACAGATTAATGGAGCAACCTGACTAATTGAATTGTATGCTTAAACTTGAGAGATACTAATAGTCCATATATATAGGTTCCTGCAGATATGGTGGTAAATGCAACACTGGTAGCCATGGCTGTTCACTGGAATGAGAAAGGGCAAGTCATTTACCATGTGAGCTCGGCAATCCGAAATCCATTGACCGGTCAAGTTCTTGAGGACGTGTGCTGGGATTATTTCTCCATCCATCCCCGTGTACTAGAAAATGGGAAACCTCTAGAAAACAGAAGGCCATACGTGTTCAAGAGATTCGCTTACTTCCGCGCATATCTGATCCTGATGTATAAGCTACCACTTGAGGTACAAAATCATAGTTCTATAATTTGTACGTACATCCCAATATGGTGTTCATATGATGAAGACTCACATTGTGGTCATATTTTAACTTCAAATGAACAGATTTTGCATGCAGTGAGCGTATTACTCTGTGGGTTGTTTTCCCAATGTTACAACAAGCACAACCGAAGATACACTTTCCTAATGCTCTTGGTCAAGCTGTATGCACCATATGCCTTCTTCAAAGGATGGTGAGACCATTTTCTGCCCGTGTTACATTAGTTACTGTAAACTTTTTAACTTGCCATTTTGGATACCAAAACAGTCTTCAATGACCTTGTTTGACCCCAACTTTGTCCGTATATATGTTGATCCAACTTTTCTTTGATGTTCTTGTTCCTAAAGCTTTGATGACACAAACTTAACAAGATTGAGGAAGGAAGTAAAGATGGACGGCAAAGATGGTAGCCTCTTCAACTTCGACCCCAAATCTATGGACTGGCACTCGTATCTCTTGAACGTCCACGTCCCAGCTGTGCTAATGTACGGCCGCAAAAATAAGGGAAGCGTATAGAAAAGAGTGGAATAATAATCTTCCTATTCTTGAAATGAAGGATAAGCATTGTTCTCCAAGAAAAATGTATATCATACTGCTAAACATTACATTTGTATGAAGTGAAGGCATACAACCATGTGATCTATCTGTATGTATTTATATTATTGAATTGAATAAAAAATACTCATAGGCCCCGGTGCTTTTTGGATGTGATAACATGTGTCAACCAAACCAATGCTGCGGAACGTGTCATGTACAACGTAGATAAGGAAGAAATAGAGGCATCATTTATTCCCACATGGAGGGAGAACAGATGGTCCTACTTGGCACCCTATATGTCACCGGGAGTAAGGATATTATAAAGCATGCCATTCAATATTTGGGGTCGTGAATAATATTGTGCATTGTACATATTCATTCTTTCTAAGAATAGTCATTTTGGTTGAAGGGTACTAAGAGCAACTCTAGCAGACCCCGCAAAAAGCCCCGATCCGTAAAATAACCATCAAAATGCGGGTCGGCGCGGAAAATCCGCCCGAACAGAAGCCGCAAACGCGGCCGGCCCGCAAAAATATTTAAGGGGCGCGGCAAAAACTTGACCTTAACCCGCAGATACGCGGGTTTGCCCCCCCCCCTCCGACCCGTCGATGCCCTGCATATAGCGGGAGCGGTTGGTGGGGAGGACATTTCAGCCCACGCTTTCCCCACCAACCACTTCCCCTCTCCCCCTCGCCCCGCCGCGCCCAAGATTCCGGCGAAAGTAGCCAGCGGGAGCATGCCGAAAGGCTGCCACACGCACGAGATTTCCCTCCGCCCCCCCTCCCGCGTCGGTGGGCCAGAAAGTTGCGAATCTGCGACCCTTCATCCCAGGCGACCGGATTTGGCTTTTCCGGCCGCCGGTGGCTGTGCCAAGCGACGGAGTGGTCGGGGAGCATGTCGCTTAGCCCCGTCAAGGTCGCATCGCCGCATGCAGGTACGGGTTCGTCCTCCCGCCGCCGCCAAGGGTTTGCAGGCATGGATTCGGCCGGCCGTCCACCGGGCTCGACGCTCGCGCAGCGGCTCTGGGGCTCGCCGATGCCGCTCATACAGTGCAACGATTGCACGCGGACAGTGATGCGGTTAACTTCGAGCACGCCGAAGCACCCCGGATGGGTGTTCTTCAAATGCGAAAATGACGGGGTACGTGTTGTTCTCATTCGGCTCATTTTGATAGCTTATTCTTTGGTTCAATTACAGTATCTTATTTCAAACATCATCATGTGTATAGGAAGATGGATGCTCATTTTAATTTTGGGAAGGCAAATACATTGATTTATTGATAGAAAAAACTTAATAGACGTTCGTGCACTCCTTAGTATAATCGAAGGCAATGATGCGGCTGCATGTGCAACTAGAGGGGAAGCAATGTCTACTTCTTTTGAACCAAAGATGAAGAAAGAAGAATGCAAAATCAAGAATCCACAGATCAACAATGAATGCATGGAGAAGATATTAGTCCAACTAGTGGGAGCAGTTATGGAAATTAGAAATCTTCTAAAATGCATACTTGTGGTTTGTGTTTTCTTTGATCATGCTATTCTAGCAAACATTTGGTGATGTCTTATGTATCCAATGTTGTTGAAAAAGCAAAGAAATGCATTATGTTGGATCAAATTGAGATGCAAATTTAGATTTTCCGGGCCGGAGGAGCGGCGCCAGACCAGACCCCGCAAAGCCGATCCGTAAAAGAGCATATTCCGTGAATATTCTTTTTTACGGGTCTACTATACGGGATCTGTATCTGCGGCCGTCCGCGCCGGCCCGCAAAACCCTTTTTTCCGTAAACTGCAAACGCGTTTTGCGGGCCGGCGGGATGCGGGGTCTGCTAGAGATGCTCTAACCTGTTAAAGCAAGTAGTCTGATACAAAGTGTTGTTCTTGCCTATATAGCTGTGTCCACCATGGATTTTTTTTCTCCTATGAATCTCCTGTTCCAGCTGAGATGTGCCTCATTGCAATGGAGCGACCCCGTGAGATGATCAGTTTATCCTCCTATGTTCAGCAGACTCGCTCTTTTTTAATATGCCAGCCCGCGTCACCTTCACTCATTTCTCTTCATTTCCTTCTTATTCATCTCCAATCCTTACCGTAGAATCCATTACTCACATTTGACATCCTCTGCATAAGATTCGAAAATCAGAAAGATTTAACAAAGAAATAGCAAATCCAAGAAACCTTGGACAGGCCAAGGTGACATAGGCTGAATAGTGATGTAGACCAGAGCTGCTTGGCATCTCTATATATATTGACGATGAATTAACCCTTTTGTAATAATGTATCAAGTGATATAATCTTGCCAGAAATCATTTTGTCAGATAATTTCTTTTGCTAATTTATTCTAACTGTGCAGAAATATTTGAGTTACACTAGAATACATTCAGCTATAAGGAGAAACGTCGACCCCCGCGTTGCCCCCGCTCGGGTGACTCCGGTGGGTTCCCAGCCCTAGCCGCCCCGCTCCTGAATTCACTTCCCTCACCCTGCTGCCGCCGAAGGACGCCGCCGTGATGCGCCCGGGGGCCGACGACGGTGGTGGGGATCCTCCTTTCTCCCGCGTATCACGGGTGGTGCGGAGCCCTTGCGCGTGCGGAGGCGTGGCAGATCTGGCGGCGGCGGCGATGGCTGGCCATGTCACGGGCGACAGCGACTGCGGCGCGTCAGGCAACCTGCTCACGGGCGGCGGCTCGCCTAGCTCGGGCGGTGGCGACTTATGCTGCGGCGGCGCGTCATCCGGCTTTGGATAGGCGGCGGCGTGGAGGGCTTGGTGGGCGGCTTGGCGGCACTTCCGGTCAGATATGATCTGGCCAGTGCAGCCGGTGAAGGAAATATGCCCTAGAGGCAACAATGAAGTTATTATTTATTTCCTTATATCATGATAAATGTTTATTATTCATGCTAGAATTGTATTAACCGGAAACATGATACATGTGTGAATACATAGACAAAACAGAGTGTCACTAGTATACCTCTACTTGACTAGCTCGTTGAATCAAAGATGGTCATGTTTCCTAACCATAGATAAAGAGTTGTCATTTGATTAACGATATCACATCATTAGGAGAATGATGTGATTGACTTGACCCATTCTGTTAGCTTAGCACTTGATCGTTTAGTTTGTTGCTATTGTTTTCTTCATGACTTATACATGTTCCTGTGACTATGAGATTATGCAACTCCCGTTTACCGGAGGAACACTTTGTGTTCTACCAAACGTCACAACGTAACTAGGTGATTATAAAGGTGCTCTACAGGTGTCTCCAAAGGTACTTGTTGGGTTGGCGTATTTCGAGATTAGGATTTGTCACTCCGATTGTCGGAGAGGTATCTCTGGGCCCACTCGGTAGTACACATCACTTAAGCCTTGAAAGCATTGCAACTAATGAGTTAGTTGCGGGATGATGTATTGTAGAATGAGCAAAGAGACTTGCCAGTAACGAGATTGAACTAGGTATTGAGATACCGACGATCGAATCTCGGGCAAGTAACATACCGATGACAAAGGGAACAATGTATGTTGTTATGCGGTTTGACCGATAAAGATCTTCGTAGAATATGTAGGAGACAATATGAGCATCCAGGTTCCGCTATTGGTTATTGACCGGAGACGTGTCTCGGTCATGTCTACATAGTTCTCGAACCCGTAGGGTCCGCACGCTTAAAGTTCGATGACGGTTATATTATGAGTTTATGTGTTTTGATGTACCGAAGGTAGTTCGGAGTCCCGGATGTGATCACGGACATGACGAGGAGTCTCGGAATGGTCGAGACATGAAGATTGATATATTGGACGACTATATTCCGACACCAGAATGGTTCTGGGGGTTTTCGGCTATATACCGGAGTACCGGGGGGGTTACCGGAACCCCCCGAGGGTTATTGGGCCTCATGGGCCCAAAAGTGGTGGAAGAGCAGAGGCAGCAGGAGGTGGCGCGCGACCCCCCTTGCCCCAATCCGAATTGGGAAAGGGAAGGGGGTGGCGGCCTCCCTTCTTCTTCCTTCTCGACACCTCCTCCTTCCCCGTTCTCCTAGTTGGAATAGGAAAGGGGGGCCAAACCTACTTGGAGTAGGATTGCCCCCCCCCCTTGGGCGCGCCTCCTCCTCTTGGCCGGCCCCCTCCTCCTCCCCCCCTTTATATACGGAGGAGGGGGGCACCCCATAGAGACAACAATTGATCTCTTAGATCTTTTAGCCGTGTGCGGTGCCCCCTTCCATCATAATCCACCTCGGTCATATCGTAGCGGTGCTTAGGCGAAGCCCTGCGTCGGTAGAACATCATCATCGTCACCACGCCGTCGTGCTGACGAAACTCTCCCTCAAAGCTCGGCTGGATCGGAGTTCAAGGGACGTCATCGAGTTGAACGTGTGCAGAACTCGGAGGTGCCGTGCGTTCCGTGCTTGATCGGTCGGATCGTGAAGACATACGACTACATCAACCGCGTTGTGCTAACGCTTCTGCTTTCGGTCTACGAGGGTACGTGGACACACTCTTCCCTCTCGTTTCTATGCATCACCATGATCTTACGTGTGCGTAGGATTTTTTTGAAATTACTATGTTCCCCAACAGTGGCATCCGAGCCAGGTTTTATGCGTTGATGTTATATGCACGAGTAGAACACAAGTGAGTTGTGGGCGATATAAGTCATACTGCTTACCAGCATGTCATACTTTGGTTCGACGGTATTGTTGGATGAAGCGGCCCGGACCGACATTACGCGTACGCTTACGCTTACGCGAGACTGGTTCTACCGACGTGCTTTGCACATAGGTGGCTGGCGGGTGTCAGTTTCTCCAACTTTAGTTGAACCGAGTGTGGCTACGCCCGGTCCTTGAGAAGGTTAAAACAGCACCAACTTGACAAACTATCGTTGTGGTTTTCATGCGTAGGTAAGAACGGTTCTTGCTCAACCCGTAGCAGCCACGTAAAACTTGCAACAACAAAGTAGAGGACGTCTAACTTGTTTTTGCAGGGCATGTTGTGAT